ATGCTTGGAAGGTTTCCAGATGTTGATGGCATTGCAATTTCTAATTGAGACGATGATGGAGTCACTGGTTCAGCGAATGACTGTGGAATAGGATTATCTTTTTCTAGTTCAACAGCGGCTATTGGTATGGAAATAGTATCAACAGTTTCAGCAGCATTCGATTCTGAAATAGAGTCGGCAAGATCTTGTACTACAATGGGCTCTGATTGTAGGACTTCAGCTGGCAAAAAGTCCATGCAGGCAATTGGAGTCACGACATTTGTTGTGACTCTAATTGCCTACATAGGCGAAAATGAGAAAAAACTAATCCTGACGAGAAAGTTTATAATATATTATTAATCTAAGTTTTGATTATCAGTTTAACACGTCACGACTACTACATATCACAAGTATAGAAACAAAAGTTTAGTAATTCAAAACATACATTTGGTTTTATCAACTCGTAAAATTAGATCGAAATGGCGAGAAATCTTCCCATGTTCGTCGTTCTCCAGCGCGTCGCGCGAACTGAGTGAGTGACTGCCGGTGCACGGGAATGGCGTGTAGCTAACTTATTGTTATATTGGTACCATTCAGTTGCGTTCGGTTTTTGTTATTTTAAGGTGATCACCATTGCCAACTGACTCTGATTGCCTACATCTCCCCTACTCATACTTCCAAATATTTTGAATAACGACAATTTTAACGCTTTTCACATCACTTATCTAAACTTATCAGAGCAACATTAACACATGTAAAATCAACCCTTGTTGGCTCTACTTCGTTCAATAGTTTGAACACAGAGCTTGAATATGCAAAATTTTAATAATTAACAACCTTTTGTGACCGTTTTACATCGTTAATCCACTTTTAGGGTAATATTTTAATTTTTTTGCCCAAATGGACCAATATTTCGTCATCGTTTTAGTTCAAGTAAATTCTAGTTTTTTGTCTCAATTTATTGTTGCGAGTTGCGTTGTGGATTATTGATCAGTAGATCAACAGAATGATTGATGTCATAAAACATATATATTCGATAGGTTACATTGTACCATCAGTTAACGATGTGGAAACTTTCTGAGAGCCAATTTAGAAAGTCAAATATTACCTCATCTGCCACACGGAAGCAAAACCGTTTTGATTTATTCATTTTGTTTCAATATTTTAAGTCAACCATCGAGTGGTGGCCTCTGACTTTTTCATGTTCGACCCTTAACAATTCAATATTTAAGTAAATGCTATTATATGCAGCTTTAAGTGTAATACCTGTCAAGTAATAAGTAAAATAAGGTTCGTGGAGTTTTGATTTTGATTTGCCGGGTACTTAACTGAAGTGGTTAGAAAAAGATACCGTAACGAAAAATAAAGGAAATTTTTAATAAACAGTGCAAGGTGTACAAGAATAGGTATTATACGATATGTATCTGTAAACGAAAAAATATGAAATCCGTCATTGTATACAATTCCTATGAAATGTATATAATTCCTAAAATCGTCCGAAAGTGTGTGAAATAAATTATATTAGACACATTTCCTAGGAAATCTATACATTTCCTAAATAGCAATCGGAAATGTATTACAGGTAATAGTAAATAGGCAGTAATACGGCAGGCTGTTTGGAGATGTACCTATATCCAGTGTGACGTCATTATTTGGTTAGGGAGATTTATGCCAGACTGAAATTTCTTTAATGCCCCTGTTTGCCAGAGGCGAATTGATATGTAAGATGTTAGAACAATGTGACGAGGTTATCTTTGTTTCAGCAAACACGATGACCTCGAATTTTTAGTATGTTGTAGAAGTAATAATGCTAATCATTTTCATATATGTGTTGGGCGCAGAGATAATAATGAAGCATACTTTTCAAATACATTATTCCAACATGTCAGCCCTCCTCTAACGGGCAAAGGCATTAAAGAAACTCCAGTCTGTCATAAATCTACCTAATAATCGTACAATAATGTCACTAATGTATATACGTCTCCAAACCTAACCTAACTAATCAATAACGTCACCAATGCATATATATCAGGCGATCCTGATTCTCAGTTTACTAACGTGTTTTATTTATTTTATTCACAGAAAGCATTAGTTTTATACATTTACTAGTACAATATCGGAATTTCATACAATTCCTAGGAAATTTATACATTTCCCTGGATGTGTGTATAAAAAAATCTTTGAAGCAAAATTTTACAAATTTCCTAAATAGCCTCGGAATTGTACACATCTCCTAGGAATTTTATACAATTTCCGGTAACATATTATACATAATTGATAGAAATAGGTGTATTGATAAGTAAAAATACATTAATTTTATTTTATTTCTATTCATACATAGTACTTATAGGTATACCTATCCATAATTTCCTACTGATTGTGGATCACCACTACAAAGTTAAGTTCATCTAAATTATTTGTTTATAATTACAAACAAGGACCTATAACACTCGGATAGTAGATTAATTAGCAATGTAGGTATAAATAGAGAGATTAAATTTAAATTCAATCGGGCAATCAATCATTATAGGAGGAAGTCAGATATGAGCCAGGGGGTGAATCAGTTGGTCGTCTTCACTCACGCTAATGATATAAAATTTCATGCAATTTTCTATGTTCCGACAAATATTATTATTAACTCATTAAATTATTTAACTGCCTTTGGTTAAATCATTTTAATTAATTCGCATTCGTTTAGGTATATAGATATGACAGCATACACTTTTAGTTCTTCTATCTTTTTACTTCGTACTTACCATACGTAAAACCTAAAAAGCACTTTTTGCAGTATTTATAAGTGCGCATGCGCTTCTATAACCTAAAAAGTTTGACAGTCAATACAATGGCGTTTACTGCGCCATTTGTAGTATTTTCTAAAACTCACTGTTAAGACAGCAGGTAAAAGTTGGTCTGTGTTCTGTCGGAGCTGTCTGCGACGCGCTGATGAGATCGAAAAAGATCGAAATCGCGATCCACGTCTGGCAGTTTCGACAGAATACAGACCACTTCGAATACAATATCCAAAAAACTTTAGCTAGAAACGTCGACTTCCTTACTCGACTGTTTTAATAGCAATGACAAAACATGGCGTTGACTGATGCACATCAATAGATAACCGAAAATGGCCAACCAATAGCACAATAGAGATACTTATTTTGGAAGTAATAAACTGACTTTTACAACTCAATGAAAATGCTAAAATGGTTAATGTGTTAAAAAATAAATCATTGGAAATTTTCACTGTATTCACTAAAATTTACTGTCGCATTAAATACCTATGTATGTCCTCAACACTTTAAATGTAAAAATAGAGAAATAAACGATTTTGAAACAAATTGAGTACCAACAGTTATATATATTTTAAATTACTAATGGTTTGATGGCATTCGTTTATTTATTCATTCCTTTATGAATTGAAGCAGTCCTTGATGAATTTTTAAACAATAAACTATTCATTCGCATATGAATTCCTATTGACCTCCGTAAAGTAAGTGTTTAATACTCCATGAAAGCTAAAAAATTTCCATTTCTATAACACTATAGCGCCATTTGTCCCAGTGGCATTCTCATATTAATATTTTTAAACTGACCCATAATTTATAGCCTCTAAACTTATAATTGACCCATAATTTATTCTAAACCGTTTTCCGATTTGAAACTACAATCAAATGTATTTTCAATAATTGAAAATATTCGTTTCAAAAATTTTATCCTCTGAGTGCGTTATAAATAGGTAGGAACCTACTAATCCCATTATTGAAGCAGAATAATGAAAAAAAAAATGTGCTTATTGCAATTTATAAAAAGAAGGCTTTTATAAATATCTCATAGGCGATATTGGAATGAGAATTTATAGAACCCACCTAAAACTTAATTTAAATATTTACAACATCAAGTTAAATGTAAGCATATATAGAGGAGTTATTAAAATATTCATAAGGGTGGAAACAGTAAATGTAGACAGGTATATTACATTTGACGTTTATTTGTTGGAATAGTAAAATTGGAATCATGAAGAAAAAAGAGAAAATTCAAAGACAGAAGGAAATCCGTGGAGTTCAATTTGAATTTCAAATTCACAGTATTGGATTTTTTTTAACTAACTTCTTCAGAAGTAAGAAGCCGTAATTAAATAAACTTATACGATATGCAATAGAGGTTTGGCAGGCATCAGATCTGACAATGAAACAGTCATTATTGTGTAAACGAGGTTTAGAGATGAGCAACAATGCTGCAAGTTTTGACTGTTATTTAAAATTTATTCAGTTATTATTTTACAGTATATGTGAACTCATTTCTTTAAATTTATTTTGAGAGCATTATGTCACTATTAATGTTTCGTGGTATTTCTTTTAAGATTTAGGAACCATTTTTTTGTAAAAGATATGTTCCTCGGGGATAAGACGTAGTAGAGATTCATCCTCAATTTATATCAATTAGTTTGCTAGCATTAGGGGCAAACAGCCTCAAATTGGGTGTTTCCTTTAAGTGTAAATTATGACAAACTATGGTCGGCTTTGACATAGGAACTTATAAGTGAAGCAGGATGTGGAAAATAAGTTGAGATATAGTCTAGCCGAGTGTCATCATATTATAGTGATTACAAATCTTCTGTTCTCAACAGGTTAAAAAAAAACAATTCGGTATATACAATGCAGTGGTAAACTTTTTAGGTCTTCCAATGTGGTAATAAATTATTTAGTATAGTTGATTTTATTGATTGTATTTAAATTTCTTTGATGGAACTACCTAAATGTTAGTTTTTCCGAAAATTGTATTAAAATACTTTCGGCTAAGGTTTAATTTAACAATAAAGTTGTTTAGTTGGTACATATGTATCTCTTTTTATTGATTATCCAACAAACTTATTATTTTGGCAAATTATCACCAAGCATCAATTACGCAAAAGCACCTAAAGGCAATTTAAACTTTTTCTAACTCTGTAAAACTTTATAGATTTGTCTATTTTTTTGCAATTTGTTTCATAGTCTGTAAAAGTACAAAAACACGCCATCACTTACATTCTGAAGCAACACTCGAATTTGTTGTAGTCTAGTTGATTGATGAAGACTTATTAGGTAAAAGTTCAAAACTCGCGTGAAACTTTATCAAATCGAAAACCTAGCGGAACCTTCAGCGCTACCGGTGGTGCGTCTGACCGAAGAGAGGAGCGCGCGTGGACTAAACGAAAGTTGGAGCAGGAAGATTCAGTTTTAGACATCGCAAAATCCAGTGCATGATTACGCGTCTGTGCCAAAGATATCTAACAATAAAAAATATGAATAAGAATGAATACTCAACAAACTAACGTAGTAAATACGTAATATTGTTCACTTATGCGTAGGAAGTTAAAAGCATTTCAGATTAATAAATAATTCAGTATTTTTAATAAATAAATAATAAACGTCCATAAGCACACAAAATCCATCTCTAATTATTTTATGTAAATTTTAATTTCGAATTTTTAGTAGGTACCGAATACATGTCCGTTGAAATTTCGTATCAAAATGGCGAAAAGAAGCTCTTTTGAACGTAAACAATTGGTGGTGCAAGTTTTGTGAAATGGCATAATTAATTCAAACAATTCGAATAAATCTCACTAATTTTTAATCAAATTCCATATCCTTTCCTTGCGTATGTATATTTCATTCAAGTTCCTGTAAATTTTAGCAAATTTGCAATGGTAATCGTCAATTTTACCTAACACTTTCGGGACGTTTCATGTTGATCTCTCAAAATAAAATATTTACTTACTCTTTTATTTATTCCGAACTTGTTCACTTCAGCATTTATTTTTGGCGTGTGAAGATCGTTTATGGAATTAGCGGGCCCTAAATGGTCCACAAGGTACCTAAGGGCCGTGATAAGACGCTCTCGCCATTACCCCACTTCCGTTGACATCACCAGCCAATCTTGATCTCTGACATCAGTTTCCGTCATTCATAGGATATGGAGCAGCAAGACATTTCCAGTCTGAAGCACTGTTAGCACGCATTCACCATTATTTACACCCATTTAGCAAAATTCGCCAGTAAAAGGCTGAACACGTGCGCGAGATTGTGAAAAAAAATGAATATTTGTAAAGGCTAAGTGGAGAAACTGCTAAATTTAACGTAATGGATTTCATTGATAAAAGGAACGAAAATGAGCAAAACACTTACCCTTCATAAATCAAGAAAAGGACCTTGGAAAAGCCTTGCACACAAGGCAAATTGCTATTGCTATGTTGATTCTGAGTTTCTACACTTTAATTTCTACATATCAATTCATTTATATAATGAACGTCAAGTTCCAGGAGAATACACAATTTAACGGAATACAGTGAATTTCATTTATTACGACCTTGGCTATAGTGACCATTTTGATATAGCGACATTAAATGTCGTCCCTTAAATTTAAAGTACACTTTAGTACAAAATTCATGTGGCTGTAGCTACTTCGGATGTAACGCCGGGTTCCTGTTGGCGATTGTTTTTAATGAATCATTTGTAACAAATTCCTAATAATCCCATGCAGATATAGCGGCCGCAGTCGCACAACGAGCTTTCCTATCTTTTGTTTACATCCACACAGATGTCATTAAGTGTAGTATCATTTACTGTTTTGTATAGATGTTAATCAACTAGGTAGGAAGAGCCTGTGCACAATTTGTTGATGTAAAATTCTTAGAATCGTCTCGTTTCTGAGAATTCTACATCAACAAATTTTTGAAAAGGTTATAAGCGTGCACGTTAAAACAGGGGTGGCCTGAGTCATTGGAAGGTTCTGGGCGGGTAAATTTTTGCGAGGCCCTCGTCTTTGTGGAATTAATTTTAATGATGATACTTGAAAAATGCAAAGTGGTTCATAAATAAGTTTACACTTTTAAAATTGTTTATCGAAAATTAAAAGAAATTGATACAGACAAAGATACCAAATTTGCGGCTTCTTTTAAGACTATTAAGAAATTCAAATAAACATTAGTAGTATGTACTATTACTACCTAATATTTTTCTAATTAGATTGTTGCGCGAGTGTGCGAGGCCCCTGCAAGAGCGAGGCCCCGTGCGGTTGCCCTGTTCTCACCCCCAAAGGCCGCCCCTGCGTTAAAATTTCAGTTCAGTTACAAAGTGATATTCTCCTAGATCCACATTTACTGTTAAAAAAGGCGGAAATCGTTTCAAAATTGAAAAATGGTGAAAACTATACATACGTGTCTGTATCTCTTTACCTTTGCCAGTAACAACTTCCGGATATAACGAAGAAGTTATAGTACTTCCTTCGTAGCTGTTTTACCACAAATCCACTGTATAACCCAGCATGCATCATCATCATCCTCATCATAAAGTCGTTAGTCCTAAGACTGATTGGAGACGCACCTCCACTCTTTCCTATCCTGACCTAATCTTCGCATTTCCCCAAAAACTAGAACAACCCACATCCTTAACTATTTGCCAACAGTAATCTAATCTAGGTCTACCTCTAATATGTCTCCGACTAGGACCTTCATGCCTGAGAAGGTGCTTTACTAACCTATTTCGCCTATTTCTTATTCACTTCCATAAAGTCCTCTATTCTCTTATTCTTTCTAATACCTCTTCATTTTTAATCCTCTGTATCCACGGTATCCCTATCAGTTGCCTATAACATCACATTTCGAACGCTTTTAACCTTTCCTTTTCCGCTGCGTCCACTGTACATATTTCGCTCCCGTACACCGCCGTATTCCAAACATACACCTTTAACAACCTTTTTCGAATTTCTAAATTAACTTTTCGCGAGCATAGAAGTGACTTCTTTTATTGAAGGCGACTTTATCCTGCGCTTTGCTCTGCTACCAGTGCTTCCGTCCTGACTTATCTGACTTACTAGATACCTAAAATCTGTCACTTCTTCTAACTTTTCGTCATCTATCTTTATATTCTGTCTTTCCCTACTTTTTCTTCTCTTGCATACTGGTATTTTTGTTTTACTTGTATTTATTTTCATACAATACTGTTTAGTCAATACCGCTTCCATTTTATTTAAAACTATCTCTAACTCCTCCTTGCTAGATGCTAACACTGCAATATCATCTGCAAATTTAAGCATACTAATCTTTTGCCCTTCTATGTCCTGCATGTTTAAGAATTTCCCCTTGTATCCCATCTACACCTGGCGCTTTATTATTCTTTAAATATTTTAATGCTATATCGAACTCTTCTTTCATTATGGGATAACCTAGCTCATCTACCTCCACACTATCTTCCTTTTCTAATATATTTCCTAACTCATAGTCTGCGGATAGGTTCTGTAAATATTTTTTCTACTTATTTAATTTTTTCTCATTTTCTATCAAAATCACCCCTGCCTCGTTTCTTATTTTATTACTACTGTACCCCACATCTCTAAAATTCCTTTTAATTGTATTATAAGCCTTATCGGTTTTACCTACTTCAATCTTTTCTTCTACTTCTTAACACATCCTATCAATCCACTATTCCTTAGCTTCCCTGTACTCCTAATTATTTCCCACTTTGCAGCCTTAAATCCTTTTTGCCGTTCTTCGTCTGTCCTGTTTTTATATGTCCGGCTTTCTTCTATTAATCCTGCAATTTCGTTTGTTATCCTACTTTCGTTATGTTTAAGACCTACCAGCATGCGTAAGTAACCAAATATAAATTTACTTTATCTTAAATTCACTGATCTCCTGAGTGCTGACAGAAGCTATCACTAGGCCTTTCGTCTACCTACAGTCTATTGCGAGCACAATTCTATTAAATATGCCAGACGTTAATGTTTTTCTCAATTATTCGAATATAATCAAAACAAAATGTAATACATACTCCAGTGTGTAGTAGAGAAGAATAATGCTTGAGTTGCTCCAATTTTTTACGTGGGTGAATATTATGAATAAGTTTCTCGATAGTTTGCATAAAATGTCTCTCGGAATTATTATAAACAAATTGCGAAGGCAGGAGGTCGAATAAAGAATGTGCTGTCTGAAAATACATCTCTAAAGTTTGAACATAAATACGATCTTCTTTCTTAGGTTGATACGAACATACCTCACTTCCTAAGAAAATACATATCTCATATGATTATCCCCAAAAACATAGGGATTTATAATAATGTCAAATGGAAATGTAGTTTTTAAAATGTGCACTTTGTTTTTGAAAAAAAAGTAGTTCAAGTTTATTACGTATTTTTCCATTCAGCAATTTATTTGTAGGTTTTTGTCAATGCTGGAATAAAAAGCTGAAGGATTTTAACCATGTAAGGAGGTATCGCATTTGCTTGGTGCAAATAAAGAATTTTATCCAAATCCGGAATTTTATCCAAATATAATATTTACGAACTCAAGAGCTTTACCTTGAAATATATACATTTGGTTTTCCTGTCTGTTTTTTTTTCGTTGTTTCCAATTTATTTTCTTCGAAGTAAAAGGTATTTGATGTTTGTTTTTCATTAAATGAAAGAGGTTAAAAAGGTAGAAATGAACCCGTGGATACTTCAATTTTTATAACACACGCTTATCAATTTTTTCCTAATTAATTTATTTTACAAAATAAATTTTGTAGCCTAAATGTAATGATTATCAAAATTACGAAAATTGAAAACAAGTTATTTATGTAACATAGCAGTAGGAATATGTATTAGTCATGAATAATCAATTTGACAAATTCATAGTAACATGATTTCTTTTTATGACAGGTGTAACAGTTTATCAAAGTCGCCAACCATTTTTTCTTTATTATATCTATATATTTTTTTATTA